AGCCCGCCACTCTTTGAAGGCCCGAGCCTTTCCGGGGCGGCCGCTCGCGCCACTTCTGCCCTCACGGCGGGGCGGGCGGGCCGGGGCCGCCGCCATCTTTGGTGAGGGCAGTGCTTTTTGAGGGGGGGGAACTGCCGCCCGGTTTAAATCTCTTTCAATAACCCGTTTAAATAAACTGTTCAATTAAATAAATCCCCCGCCCTCCGCGTCTGTGCAGAAGCCCTTCGGGGCTCCTTGGTGCGTGAGGCGCAGGGAGGCGGTGAAGCATCGCCCGTGCCCCGTTCGGGGGCGTCGTGGTGGCCCCGGCCCCTCAGGTGACACACACACCTGTGTGGGCCCGCACGCCTCCCCACAGCACGGGGAGTTCCTTCTCACACAGTCCCGCTGCATCTGCTCACCCCAAGCCACAGCGAGTGGCGGAGGAGACGCTGTCACTGCCTATCGCCGCTCCTAATCGCCGCCTCCTGTCGCGACAGGCGACTCCTCGTGTGGCGACAGGGCCACTCCTCCTGCCAGCCCGGCTCGACAGCAGCGAGGAAAAGCCACATCCAGCGGCTGAGGCTTCCCCAGTAACACTAGATGGTACCAGAGCTCCACACAGGACTCAAAAAAAAAAACCTTGGAATTCTGAAGCCGGGAAAGCTGGAGAGGTGAAGCCGCATCCCTTGGTGTGCTGCTGGCACAGGGATCCGCCAGGGAAGCTGGGAATAAAATAAGGACCTTTTTTTTTTTTTTTTTTTTTTTTTTTTTTTGTGGTGTTCAGTGCAATCTGTTTGTGGTTAAAAACGATCAGCAGAGTGATGGTGTCGAAGCACCTGGAGGGAAAGTTTGAACAGAGACTCTCAGGGAATTTTTCAGTAATAATGATTAGTTAAGGAAAATCTAGGAAGGATTTTAACTCGGTTAGAATCTGCTCATGGCAGGGGCGTTGAACTGGATGAGCTTCAAGTTCTCTTCCAACCCCAAACCATTCCATGATTCTAATTCCATGATTAAATCCTAAAGGGAAGGTATCTTGGTATCTTTAATCCCTGATATCTTTAGTATTCGGAGCTATTCAAACAGCACTCAGAATGTGATCACCTTTTTTTCTGGAAGCGCCTGCACACATTGCCTGAAATATTCATGCATGAAGAAAAAAACCAAAAAACCTCTTCCTGCAAATGAATATTTATTCCATGAATAAGTTTTAATGTCTTCGTGGCTTTCAACACATTTGGGCAAAATGTTTCAAGTTTCTGTGCTTTCAATGACAAAATCTGAACCCGACACCTAAATAGGTGGCCTGATTTCAGCTGTGTGGGGCATTTTGGGGAGACAGAATTTCCTCCCTGTAGCTCCCTCCGTAGCAGGGCAGCGTTTTAGAAACCTTGGGGAAACTCAACACAGCAATTTAGGGGGTGAAATGAAGCCTGGAGATAACAAGGGAAAATAATAAAGGCAGAGCTGGCGCTGGGCCAGAATAATTTTCTCTAAAGCTCCGCTCTCCTGCAGAATTCCTGGTTTCCTGCCCGTGGCAGGGGGTTGGAACTGGATGAGCTTTAAGGTCCCTCCCAACCCAAGCCGGTCTGTGATTCCACGATCCTGTGAAGTCCTGGGAGACGATCTTATGGCTAAATATGGTCAGGACTGGAACGCTGAGCCTCATCCAAGATGCAGCGACACCGGTGGTTCCTCTTCCCAGATGAAGAGTTGGCGTCGGCGCCGTATTTTTAGTGGCGTGGGCGTCGCTTGAATTTCACGTCGCCTGAGCTCGGTCTGCTCTGCCGTGGTGGGGTCTGTGCCCAGACACAGCCAAGCTCGAGGGCTGGGGCTGACATCATGGAATCACAGAATCATGGAATGGTTTGGGTTGGGAGGGACCTCAAAGCCCATCCAGTGCCACCCCCTGCCATGGGCAGGGACACCTTCCACCAGCCCAGGTTGCTCCAAGCCCCGTCCAACCTGGCCTTGGACACTTCCAGGGATCCAGGGGCAGCCACAGCTTCTCTGGGCAACCTGTCAGGTCTGAGCAACCTCCCCACCCTCCCAGGGAAGGATTTCTTCCCAATATCCCACCTAACCGTTCTCTCTGGCAGTTTGAGCCCATTCCCTTTATCCTATCACTACATGTGTTACTTCTAACACATCCCAAGCCGAGCATGGAGAGAGAGCAAATCTCATCCCGGATGCAGGAGGTGCCCAATCCAATGGTGATGCTGCCAGGCTGGTGGGAAAAAAAATCCATGCCTGAGCTGCTGGGGGACAAGGCCATTGCCACCAATCCTGGCCGGAGCAGGAGGTGCCCAAATCCCATTTTTTAGCCAGCAGTCACTGACACCACAGAGAAGGGTTGTTGCAGGACACCTGGCTGGAATTCTGAAGGATTACACTCCCCAGGTTGGGTGCTGTACAGATAAATAGGTGCCAGCCCTGCCTCCCAAGGAACTGAGATCCCACATGGGCAAACAGTACCTGCTCCAGTACCTCGGGCTGTTGGAGCTCTCCAGCACGGGCACTCACGGATAAATTCTAAAAAGGTGAATTCTGGGGTGAAGAAGATCGATGTGCAAATCTCTGAACCCTTTCTGGGGATGTTTCACCTGCGTTTGGGAACAGGGAGCTCTGTGGGTTCCTCCCGTCTGCAGGCAGAGCAGTTTCAGGCCTGTCTTGTCCTTAATTACACAGATCCAAGAGAGTCGTATGATTGAAAATCATCTGCCATTAAAGGTCACACATTCCACGTGCTCTTGGTTTTTTGATGTTGCAGGAGGCTGGTGCTCATCTGCTGAGAATTAGGAGGTTATTATTCTGCGGAAGCTGATCCAAATTGCCTCCTATCCATAGGCAGAAAATTAAAGGAATATTTAAGCCCATTCCACAGATTACAAACTTGGTGGCATAGCTCTGCAACCAGTAGTATTAGGATCTTGCATTTGATAGTTGCCAATAATTTAAGTCAACTGTTTAACATCTGGCATTACTATATAATGTCTGGCTTAAG